ATATATATATATATATATATATATATATATATATATATATATATATAATGACCAAACACCTATTAGTTTTGCATTTCATTGCAGAATTCTCATGTGTTATCCTTCACAATATGCAGTTAATGAGCTCAATGATGGATGATATTTTGGCGTGTCTAAGGTCAGGAAACATTTGCACGCTTACGAGATAATAAATTGTTTACGTGCTGTCACTCTCAACCAGGTCATTCACCAAGGTCACATGATGACCCCTCATTACACACACACACACACACACACACACACACACACACACACACACACAAATGCCTGTTAGCTCTGAGCTTAACTAAGTATAACGTCTAAAAGCAAACAGATGAACTGATTATATGCTTTATCACATATTAACAATAATTAAAACATTAACAACCCATAAGTAACTATTAAAGAAACTGCCAATCCCGCGTTACTAAATAATACCGTATACACGGGCCCCTCACATCATCACCCTGTTCTCTCGATTGGTCAATACGTAACAAATCCAGACTTTTAGCTTAATCGCTAGGAATGTTTGTCTCCTGAACAGGTTGAACGCTAGGAATGTTTGTCTCCTGAGCAGGTTGAACGCTAGGAATGTTTGCCTCCTGACCAGGTTGAACGCTAGGAATGTTTGCCTCCTGACCAGGTTGAACGCTAGGAATGTTTGTCTCCTGAACAGGTTGAACGCTAGGAATGTTCATCTATAGACCAGGTTGAACCTTAGGGGTAACAATTGAACAAGTGTTCACTTGTTCCCTATTAACAACCATTTTCCCAATTTCCACTATACTCTGAGTACTTTTGTTAGCTTCGTTATATATAAAGTTGTTGTTCATCATACACCGTCTCCATTCTACATAACTTAGAAATTGTTAGAGTTTCTATTCTCGTTTGCAAATTACATTATATAAATAATATAGTCTCATGTACGTAATAATTACTGCCTCACATATGCAAGGTTGCCAGATTGTTGCATTGCTGGTCTAGGCACTTGTGCAACACCGCTATCATGGTGGGTATATTATCTCTGATTGGTCCGTCGTGCTTCAGTGATAAATTACTTGCAAGAGGTGTTATTGTACCGTGAGAGAGAGAGAGAGAGAGAGAGAGAGAGAGAGAGAGAGAGAGAGAGAGAGAGAGAGAGAGAGAGAGAGAGAGAGAGAGAGAGAGAGAGAGAGAGAGAGAGAGAGAGAGAGAGAGAGAGAGAGAGAGAGAGAGAGAGAGAGAGAGAGAGAAGTACGAGTTAGTTTTTTTTTTCAACATATTCTGAAGCATTTGAATCGTGTGAGAGTGGGACACTAATGAAAAGTAACAACAACGGTCCATTACTAACTCGTTCAGGGAAGTTTAATCGACCCTGATCGACTGTCCATGGATCGATACCACATGTAGTAGCAACAGTCGATCGTCTCTCCCCCCCCACCTCTCTATGACCCCTACCCTTTCTCCTAACCCCCAACCCCCCTCCTCACTCTGCCTTGCTTAATCTGTACTCATCAGCATTGCTAGAACACCTTACCTTCCTTCTTCGTGAATAAAGAACACCAACTCAGCCCCTCTTTACGGGCTCACCATAGCCCGTGCTACATGACAACAACATCAGCCCCTCAAGCACAATTGAATTCTTGTTACTACACGCACCAGAAAGCTAAACATGTTTCGTAATTACGACCACCTCT